ACAGATGACGGGCTCCATGCTGATTGCTGATCTGGAGTCTGTGCGGTGCTCAGGCTCTCATTGCCTTCTCAGGGAGCTTTTGCACTGAAGCTGACCAAGAGTGTCAGCATTCGGCTGGTGATTACGAGGTGTGAATGCTTTTGTCTAAAATGTTGGAGGCATGAATTCAGTTCCTGCTTTGCCTAGTTAGGATTGAAATTTCTCTAACCTCTGAGTTGTATTGCTATAGAAATAGAAGAAAGTAATGTGCAAAGAAGTTATTTAGAAGATTAGTGGTATAACACTCACATTTAAAATTTGACAAGTAACATGCTGTGAATCAGATTTTTTGTTGCTTGAAGGATTGTCAGCAAGGTTTCATCTTTCCTGTGTATAGTTTGGAAAGCAAGAGACTCAAATGTTCTTGTTTTGCATGCCTAGAGAGGCATGATTTTAACCTGTCCAATGAGAGAAATGAATTTCTGACTGTCCTCAGAGCACGATCCCGTTGTTCTTTGTGATCAGCTTCATTTGGCTTAAAAGAATTTGTAAGTAGAAATTCAGAATATACAAAAGTAACAGTAGGATATGAATATGTAAGTAACAAGTACTCTCTTTCAATAAAATTATGTTGAAGGAAGACAAATGAATTCTTTTTACATATCTTATCATTGTTGCATAGGTTTCTCTTTGTTGTGAGAGAGTGCAAAGATTACTAGAAAATACATCTTAGAGGTTCAGATTTTGCATCATGTATGGCGTGTGTTTTGTTCTGTTGGCTCTAATGAAAAAAGTGTTATTTTTAATTACTGACTCTTGTACACTAGGAACGTATGAAATAGAAATACCATTTTATGGGAATGCTTTATCAGGTATTTATTAACAAGTGATTTATTTATTTATTTATTTTGGATAAAATGTGCAAATCAGGGAGAATATTTTGGAGTAATTATGGTTTTGTAGAATATAGTATGTATTACCCCTACAATGCGGTGAAAAGCAATGATTCTTGTAATTGTTGGTCAAATAAAATCAGCTCAGCTTTGACAGTAAGTACTGTCCTGCAGTGTACATGTTACAAAACTGAAGGTGAAAAATTGTTCTTCACTGTAGTAAGACTGAACTTTGAACCAAATATTTGGAAGAGACTTTACCTAAAGTTTTTTGTTTGTTTATATTTACTGCTAATAGAATCCATTTGCTATGGCTACATTGAGGAAAATAGGTTAGAATTTTAGCACTGATGTTTTGGAAAGAACATCAAGATGCATTTCAGCCCTTTGTACTGTGACAAGATCATCCATACCTTGTCATTTCATCTAAGTTCTTCAGGTTCTGCAGTGAAGTTTTTTTTACATTTCTTAGTAGCCTATTTTGATATTTCAATGACCTTAAAAGGCATTTTCCTATTATGAAACCTTAGTCTATTTTTCCCTCGTATCAGACTACATGCAGTGTTTATAGTGAAAGAGAGGGAAGAATTACGAAAATCAATTTATATAGATAGATTATTTCAAACAAGTGGACACTTTGTCTCAATATTACATTTCTCACAGTGAAACTACACTATCAAAGTGAAATAAACATAAGTTAAAGCTGGATCAAGTGCAGATTTATACACATTAAAGCAGCCTGGCAGTACTGTAATGTCACAATATGAAAGCAAAGTATCTATTCATGTTGTACCTGTTAGAAATTGCAGCATTAACATTTTGTAATTTGGCACTTGATCTTGAAACTTATATTTTGAATAGGTGAAAATACAACTTCCTTTCTTGATGTGTTAGTGCTCTTCTCGTATTTTGTCTATGTAAACAGGAAAAACAAACCTAAAACCAAACTGAATTTGGAGGAGACTGTTATATATTTTTAAGTCCCAGTGCAGCTTGTGGACTTCCACAAAATCAGGTTAGTTACCTGATATTGGCTGATATTGATATCACAGAATACCTTGCTTAAAACAATGAAGGGCTTTCCACAGTTTTCCACAGTTTTACTTCCATAGAGAGTCTTTCCATTGCTTTCAAAGAAACTCTTAACAAAATATGATCTCACCTTCTTCGTCTCATTACCTCACATCTTTTAGCTATTTGCCCCCCAATTCTGCTTTCTCCCTTATTACAGACACAGAAAATAGACATTTGATATATGTTGTTTAACCTTGTTTTGACGCAATAACGTTTTCCACTCTACTTCACATCTCACTATTTCATTTTTCTACTTCTCTCATTTTCTTTTACGTTAGAATTTTCTAGTTCAAAACTGAAAAAATGTTTAATTCATTGTGAAATAAAAGGTTTCGAGTTTTTTGTGCATGTCTGTGAAATGGTAAAAGAAACAATTTGTTTAGTTTTTTTCTGCAGTGATTTTTTTCAGTTGTGTTTAATTTTCAAGTCTTTGAGCATGTGGAAGGAAAGATATTAATAAATTAATTACATCCTGGTGATAGAACAGTATTCTTTATGTTTGAAACCTTCCTCCTGATTGAAAATAAAAGGCAAAATATTTTGTTTTAGAAAATACTGTAGAAGAGCATTTAAGTTAGAGCCTTTCTCTAGTTTTTCATCAAGGCTATATCTACACATTATTTCTGCTCTGCAGTTCTAAGGTACAGCTGTTTAGTTGCATTTCCCCCCAGTTACAGATCCAAAACATCAGCTAAATTTCCATAATCTCTCTATTCAGCCATTGACATCTTTTTCTCCGGCCTTGGCAAGTGCATTCTTGTAATACTCTCAGCCAGTCAGGATTCTGCTGTGAAGTATAATATTTAAAGTATAATATGCCTCATCCTTATGTAATTTTGGAATATCACACTTAATTTTTCAATTGTTTCCTCTTTTCTCTGCTATATTGCACAGAAGCTACTTGTCTTCCCATTCAAAGTACTTCAGGACTTATTCCCATTCAATCGTGTCTCATTTAGTATTATCTGTTACTAGAATTTTATTCTGATTGTAACCTGTTCTACTGTAATCAGTTTCACTATGCATAAGCTTGGTTAAACTGATCCCTTTTGGCTGAGGAGCAGTAGCGCATTGCTATCAGTACAGATAAGTCACGTCCAGGGAAATGTGCTATCATCTCCTTGGTACAGATATCACAGCCCTTGGAGGGTTTGGGTGGGAGTGTTTGCACAGCTGCTTGCCTCGTGTTATGTCTTCTTTGTGGGCTTACAGCGCGATTGCAATCAGATTAGACAACAAAGCTTTGAACAGTCTCAGTCTGACTGTGTTTAAATTCATGGCCCCAAAAATAGTATGACTAAGCACCATAGGTACAACGTGTTAAAGTTTTTGAAGACTAGATGTAAATAATAACTGCAGTGACAAGCTGAGATTTTCAATTGTGTGTGCAGTAAATACTGACTGTCGGATCAAGAGATCGTTCTTTTCAACTTTCCATTTCGTTGCTCCTGTTGAAGTTCAGAATCAAAAGTTTCCTGTTTTGAGGCTGCTGTGAACAAGAGAATAAAGCATAATTAATAAATCCATAATTATTTTTAATCAATTTTGAATGTATAACCCATTTTAAATTTATTCTCAGAATTGAATAAAGAACTCTGAGAAAAATAATCAAAGATTTTAAATCGGAGTTTGCAGTTTGGAGGATGGAAGTCAGCCAATTTTCTCCAGGTCCTTCTTTAGTTGTAAGAATGTACTTGCTAACACCACTGGATGTTTAGAGACGAGGGGCTGGATTGCTACTAGAAGTTTCTATCAAATTTCTTGGATGTGTTCTGTAGAGAAAACCTAGTTAAAATGTCACTGTGAAGGATATTTTAGGTAGATCACTTATTTTCAACCCTTTTATAATTAGAGTTTCTGAATGAATTTGGATTTTTATGTTGAATTAAGTTACTTGCTTTTAAAGTTAACTTTTATCTTGATGAGAATGGGTGCTATTTAGATTACAGGACTGATCTTATGCTCATGTCAGCTGTTGCTGGAAATGCTAGAGACATTTGGAATCAGGAATAATAAGCTTCACAAAATCATCATGACTCTTTGAAAGAGTTCTGCCAGATTCCCAAATGAGTCAAGCCATATTTGAAAAATCTGTGGATTAATTTGTATGTCTTTTTTTTTTTTTCACCCTCTGATAATCATAAATGGATGTTCCAATAATTCAAAGTTCTGTTCTTAGCTGTCAACAGAGGTACAACAGAGGTACGATGTGCCTGTGCAAGAAATCAGGAAATGAAAGTAGAAAAAACTGTTGTGATAGCATGGCAACTTACAGAAAGTTCTGTTTGGTTGATTTTTATTTATTTTTTTTTTTTTAAAGGAGGGGTTAAAATGATAAAAGTGAATATTAGAAACTCCAGTCAAAGATTTAAAATAAGAAGAATGTATGTGTGAGAGATATGAATTTTCTTGGAGCTTGCATGGTAGAAATTAACGCATCATTGCTGACTGTTGGGGTAACGTTCTTCCTTTGCCACTCAGGACAAAGGTTCTGTTACTATTCTGTAACTCTGGATCAATTAAATTCCTTGTAAGCTAGCTAATTTATTCTAGAGAGAGTGCATTTTTCTATTTGCATGTATTCTGTTATTTTACAAGTCAGAAATTCTCGGTCTAGAGAATAACATTTACAAGGAGTGAACAAGAATTCCCTGCATTTTAACTTCAAAATTCCACTACTGTTTCCCATTCTTTTGAAGTAAAGGAAGGCTGCAACGTTTACGGTCTCCAAGAAGCTAACTAATGATATTACGTCTTATCAATTGAAATAAATAGGGACCATGAAGACTGCTTTTCATCTTCTACAATTATTTCTCCTGAATGATGAAGCAATGGAAACACAAAATTAAGAATTATTTTAATTCCAGACTACTTCAAGTTTTTGTTACCTCCAACATGTGTGAACTGATAGTATATTAAATATGTTTCTTCTTGGGTGATTGAATGGAACTTCTGTTATGTCAGTGAGCTTCTCTTCTAGTTTCTAATGTGTTACTCTAAAAATTATCTTCCTAATAACAGTAGAATTCATAGAACTTCTTGTGTGTTTTGTAGGGTTGTGACTCTCAAATGAGCATGTCAGAAGTATCCTGCAGTGAAAGTACCTCCTCTTGTCAGTCTCTGGTGCATGGCTCAGCTCCAGAAATCCTCATTGGCCTCCTTTACAATGCTACAACTGGAAGATTATCAGCAGAAGTGATAAAAGGCAGCCACTTCAAAAACTTGGCAGCAAACAGACCACCCAGTGAGTGAAAATCGTTTTTCATCCTAATGCTTCTGTACTGGTGGGGCTCTTAGTAGTGAGGACTTCAATGCTATCATTTAGTCTTCTCCAATCAAAATGAAATAGAGCAATCATCAACTAATCTGTTTCATGTTTTATATTTCTAGTCAGTTGGGAAATAGCAAAACTCTAAAATTCAAAATATTAATTGTACGTTGACAAGCCTGCTTTAATTTTTCATGATGACTGACTAATAAATTACCTTTATCATACTAATTAATTGCTAAATTACTAATGCCTCACATCACAGGCCAAGAATAAAAAGTTAGTGTTTAAAGAGAAAGTACATGCCAGTTGATATTAATATAAACACTATGAACAGTTATTGCTCTTCCTAGAGGGTTTGATACTGCAGCCTTTGATTGCTTATGTGCCTACATATATGTGGTAGAAATGTATTTGATTTAGGAATGTCAGCAAAAACAATGTAGAAGCAAATTGAGACCTTTGGCATATATACTGTGCAGAAGGAAGATTTATAATCAGCATTTGTTCAAAAATATGTTTGTCTGAAATATCTGTGAGCTTTCTATAGTCTAAATTGAGCCAGATGGGATGTCACACGCAGAATATTTTTTACTGACTCTAATTCTTTGATAAAGCTTGAGAAAGCTCAGTAACAAACTTTTAAAATTGCTTTGTAGATGTCGAGTCTGATTTACATTAGTTGTAGCCAGACTTACTTACCTGTTCCTCTTGGTTTGGTCTTGAGGCTCAGGTTTTAGCCTGTCTTTCTGTTTCCTAATCTTCAGATTTGTGTGGCACTATTAGATTATCCAGCAGGCTGCCAACGTTTTGTAAGTGGTTTTCACATCTCACTTTGCCTTCGGAGTTTAGGAAATAAGCCAAACAAGTTGAGACTGATGCTGTCGTCTTTCTTTCTTGACCCACATTTTATTTCAATCATTAATTACATTTGGCTCAGCTGTATTCTGTTTTGCTCTCTGTATATTTTTCATGCTGACTTAGCCAGCCTTCATTAACATTGCCAGAGAAGGAAAGCCAGAGATGATTCTCAAATACTTTTTTATAACTAGGTAGTTTCCCCAGAATCACCTATTTGCAGACAAAGAGAGAAATAGATGGGAAAACCCAAGAAGAGCCAAGGACAATGGAATCTCTCTAGGGAGAGCCACGTTTTTCCATTTGGAATATGCAAATTAGTTGGGAGTGGAGAGTCTGTACTTGTTTTGAAGACAGACAGGTTAATTCTCTGGTAAGATAATTCGCAAAGTGTGTGCTTGTGCTAACAATTATGCACACAACTAGGATCAAAATTTTTGGTTTCAGATTGCATAGAACATGACACACAGCCCTGCATGTTCTGTCTTACCCTTTTTGGAGGAAAGATTTCTTGATGACAAAAGTTTCCAAATAACTACTCTTGCATGTTATCTTTTGTCATCCCCTCTGCAAGGTAGGAGGAGGTTTTCATATTCATAAGTCGTCTTGTTTTCACAAATGTGGGTTTGGAGTTTTATTTCTAGACAGCTGGAAGGTAGTACACCCTTTAGGTCTGGCAAGACAGTGCAGAATATTGTGGAATTCAAATTTCTCCCATGGATTGTTTTGTGCATCCCCACAAAGTGAAAACTCCTTGTAAATTCCTGGAAGCAGGTGCATGTTTGTCATTGGCTATGCACCAGCCTCTCATAATTTCCACAAAAGACGCATAAGGTTGTTGATGAAATACTCTGACCTCATTTTTTCTTGAATCATCAGTGGTCTGGAATCTTTAGGAGTGCTGCAAATCATGTGCACGGGTCAGTTTTTGTTTAGGTCATGAGAAACTGCAATAGGAGGGGTAGCAATTATTCTTTCCCTCAAATAATCGTTTTGATATTCTAGAGTTCATTAACTTATTTATTTTTTTGTGAAATGCTTCTGCAGCAAGTAGGATTGAGTCCTACATTTCTGGTTCTTGGTAGTCTATATTCCTCTGTGGCATGTTTCTTATTTAGTGTTTCATTTAGCAATTAAGTACGAGTAAATAGGCCAAATCCTGTAAGCAGTCCAAGCATGTTAGAATGTGTCTTGGTTTCTCTTGTTGACAGTGTATATTTTGTCTGAGAAAAGACTGTTTCCCAGTATATCCCAGTATCTCTTAAATCTTGAAACAAGGTATGAATTTTTGCACCTTAAATGCACGTGTGTATATGCACACGAAATCCATAGACATGAGTTTTAACAAGTGAGATCTGTACATTTTGTATAGAGAGAACCATATACGAAATTCAGATTTAAGCCTCCCTCAGCTTTTTCTAAAGCGTGGATTACAGTCATTCTTATGCCCAACTCCATCACCACTCAAGAAGTAAAGTATTACAGTCATGTAGCCATAACTGTAACATCTAAGAGCAGTAGAATCTTATTTTTTAGTACAGTGATATTTTGCTTTATTGCTTTTCATGTAAGAATTATAACCACTGTGTGCAGTTTTTCTAATATGCTGGAGTTTGCATGAAAAAGCATAAGGGTTGATAAAATGGATAGTGTTCTTTACCTAGTCTTCTATAACTTAATCATTTTCATGATTCTTTCTGTGTTCTGTGTGCTTTAGAACCCAGTAGCTATAACTGCTAAGACAATCCATTATACAGTGTAATTTCTGTTCAAGATTACACAAAAACTGCACAAAAGTATCATTTCATGAAATTTTACCCAACAATCCTTTTGTTCAATCCTTTTTCTGATCTATGCTGCTAAGATTTTGTGTTCTTCCAGTCCTGTGAATAGTGTTTCCTCTTAAACTTTAACCTTAGATCCTCTCTCACCCAGCTATTGACATCTGGTCATTATTTCTTTTACTGCTTTCCACCCCCTGTTGTCAGATGGACTGTTCTGTTGTCTAAAACACTTGATAGGTGGACAGGTTTATATAATTCGAGGTGAGTTCCTGTAGAATCTAATTGGATGTTGTCTTTTTCATGCAAAGAAAACTTGCCAGCAGTAAAGCTATCCACAGCTGCCTATCATACTGGTTTATAAATGTGTATACTTATTATTTCTTGCGCTCTCTCATTCACAAGTTGTGTCTATCTCTGATTATGGATGGTGGAATTTCAGTGTACCTGCAAAGTGAAAGTGTGCAATGTGTTCCTTTTTAAAAAAATCTTGAATCTTCTGACATTATTCGGTAACAGTAAAGTTACAAAGAATAAAAAAGAAAAAAAAATCAGATTACTTAATACAACTGTAAGTTTCTTGAAGTCAGTTATAACTTCATGAATACATATCCTTCTGCAGGACTTAGTGCTTCCAGTCATGTGAAAACAGATCTTTAAAAAGAAGCATTTATACCCATATACTGGCATTCAGTGTTTGCTAGCCACATTTTCTTGCAATAGATTCCTGTATCTACTTCCTAAGATCACTAAACAAGCTATGATTTATGCTAGCGTACTGAATTACGTTAAAAAACAAAAGTGTATTATTTCATGAATTGAAGAATTAAAAGCTTGTATTGTGCAAAATTCCATCTTTGGATGCACTTTGCAAAGTTTTGGTCTTAGAAATGAATAAACTCAAAAAGCCTAAAGTGAGAACCACATCCATGCAGAGAATATTCTTAAGCACTTAATTTTGGCTGTTGTGATTTCATCACTGCATAGCAACACGTGTTTTTCTTTTAATTTTTATTTCTCTTCTTGATTCAATTTTTGTTCATTTTATTCTCTGAAAATTCGGTGGTATGCTTTACAGTGTTGTGGCTAGTTTGAGCTTGCTAAGTGTTAGTGCAACTTAAGTTTGCTTGGAACAAATGGGGACTGGATGGGAAGAAGGATTATGAGGTATACCTTTAATTTAAGCCATTTATGTAGTACTGAAGCCAGTTAATTTGTTAATGTGTTTGTAATATTTTGCTTACATGCCATCTTTTTCATGTGTCTAGTCTGAGCTGTGTTCAGTCAGCCTGGTATACACCATATCCTTGAATCTTGCAAATATCATCAAAAACTTGTTCTATCTGATATTTCAAATTATGATTTATTTTGCAGATACGTATGTTAAATTAACACTCCTGAACTCCATGGGGCAAGAGATGTCCAAATGCAAAACTTCAATCCGACGAGGACAGCCAAATCCAGTGTACAAAGAAACCTTTGTTTTCCAAGTGGCGCTGTTTCAGCTCTCGGATGTAACGCTCATACTGTCTGTATATAACAAGCGCAGCATGAAACGGAAAGAGATGATCGGCTGGATATCCTTAGGTCTCAACAGCTCAGGAGAAGATGAACTCAACCACTGGACTGAAATGAAAGAATCTAAAGGACAGCAAGTATGTAGATGGCATACTTTACTAGAATCTTAATGAACAGTTCAAAGTGCAGTCGTGGTTTTAAGGGATCTTTGCCTTTCGAGATGATGATCATTTCACGTCACAGTCTGCAGATTTGGCGCGGAAGTGAAAAATGAAAATTGAGATCAACATTCCATCTTAAAGAGTGCACAACCTGCAGAACAATGGGATTTAATGTATAATCTTCACTTAGTATCAAACACTTCCTTGGTGTCAGAGGAGCCTTGCTGTATGCAAGTATGTTAGCAGTCCCTCCCCCATCCACCTGATGCTGTATTTGTTTGGATTTGTTTTGTGTTTTTCAATTCAGTAACATTTTATGTGAACTTTTCCAAATTGATGCAAGCTCCTTATTGTGTACTTTTTGTAATGCTCTAAATACTGTAGCTTCTGACCTGCCTGCAATCAGACTAAGGGTCAATAATTTGCACTATGAGAAAAAGTTGATGATCTGTAAAGCAAAAAACAAACAAACACCAATACCAAACAGGGAAAAAAGAACCCACACCAGGGGCGAAGAACATTTGGTAATACAGCATATATGAATGCAGTGTTGTTTTACACTGAGTTTCTTTCCAGGAGCTGAGTACAATTAAGTTTTCATTTTTGATATGCAGTTGGTTTGAAAAATACTAGCATTTGGGCGTCAGGTGAACTTTGACATAAATGTTTCTTCAATATGTGACAGGAACGAGCTCTATATATGGCATAAATTGGGTTTTTCCCCTTTGCCTGTACTTCTGCCTAATCCAAAGGGACCAGATCAGTAGTTTGGTCCCTTCCAAATCTCCTTAGACAGGTTGTACTGTAAAACTATGTAACTTTCTGTTGAAAGCACCTCCTGTGTTCATGTATTCCAATGTAGGAAGCTCATACAGCATGATTTTACTAAAATATTTTTGTGTTGAACAAACCGATATGGGTTTCTTTAAAATATCAGCAGTTAGAAGCTAGCTTTGAAAGACTGAAGATTGCAGCAGCAGCTGAACAATGCAGAACAAATGAAAAATATTATGACTTTGGTTAAAACAGATCCATTTGAAACTCTTCTGAGCTGTTTTAGGGACTACTCAATGCTGTTTGTGGAAGTGCAGAGCAGACCAGGAGTTTGCCTTTCTTCTTAGAGAAGACAGCATTAATGAGTTTTTGGGTCTTTGTTTTTCTTTTTTAGTGATTTGCCAACTATTGAATGAATTTTCATGCCCAAAAAAGAAATTTTCATTGTTTACGTTCAGGTTGGGAGGCACAGCTTTCTAACAACACAGTTGAGAAGCCACAGTATCACAAGGAAGTTTCTCTATCAGATAAACACTTCTGGCTTCCACTGAAATTAGGAAAATGACTGTGCGCCCAAGACTCCAGTTTGTTCCAAATATTTTAGAGGGAATCACACTAATTGTCTAATTGCTGAAACTAATTCAGATTAGTGAAATTGTCGATTATTGAGTAATTATTGTTTTTAAAAGCTTCCCAATTCAAATATTCTAGTTGCCTGTAGCAATGTTTCATTTGCTTTTATTACCACACAGAAAGTAAGCATATTTGTTGTTCTTATAAATGATGTTGATGTCTTACTAGTATGAAACCTCACGGACTGTTTTAACATGTGGTAGGTAGAAGAGTGAAGTTTAGGATTTTGTTGAGAGAATTAGTGGTAGCCCAGAGCGTTCTGATAAGGACTTTTTTTTTTAAAGTTGAATTTGTTTATAATACCTTTGAACAATCCTGGCTTTAGGATATACAGTCGAGCATAGTGAGATTGGAGACAGCAACTATAGTATAAGATATTTCATGTGGTTCTCAAACTCTCACACCAGTTAACAATTTCACTAGGGCCTTTCTAAGGGTATTGTAATACCACTTAGTTTATTTGGTGCCTTCTGATGGGTTTATTTGCAGTGGCAGGTTTTCTGGTTTTAAAGATTTAAGATTTAAATATTAGCAGGTCTTTTTTTGTTGTTGTTTTTTTAATCTTATATTGCGCTGCTGCTTCATTTATGGAAGATTTATTTACTACGTAGAAACAATCCAAAAACTCTTTAACGTGGAAAGATCTTGCAGTGCTACAATACAGTTTGTTTCTTCTAGTCCTTGTTGTTCCTCAATTTGTGAAGTGCAGTGTTGAGTGTAGCCTTTAATTAAAAAAAAAAAAATGTTAATTTTATGTGCATAAGGAAATTGCTCAGATTTTTCCCAATCCTGTTCTCTTTCCTACAATACAAATTCTGACTTAAAAGCTGTTCAAAAGCAATTTTTCAGTGGACATGGAACCATTTTCACTCATTCTGTTTGTGGATATTCTGATGCTTTTTTTCTTGAAGCTGAAATGTGTCTCTTAATTATTGTCTCTTTGAACAGGTTTTGCTTTGTAAAATAATGTACAGTATTTAACAGCAGAAACGGAAGAAGTTAATTCTAATGGAGGATATATTTAAAGTTGCCACTGAACAAATGAAGAAGTCAGTTTGCAAGGTGCAGCATATGGCCTCTTACAGAATCCAAACTAAACCAGCTATGTCATGACTTCAGTTTCTGTTTGTAGGTTGCACTGTTTCAGTTTTACATGCAGCAGTCAGATTTCTAAGACACTGAAACCTCAATTTAGACACAGCAGAGATTTATAGTAATCTCTGTTGGACACGTTTGGGAAAAGGAATCTCCTTCCACATTATGTGACTCTTCCCATGGTATCTAGTTCCAGTTTTTGCTTCACAGAGGAAAGTTTGGCTAATTTGGGTTTATTCAGTGAAGGCTGGAAACTGTAAAGAATGGAAATGAATATATAATTTTCAGGTGGTAGAATATTGATTTTCTGTGTAAAACCAGTCACAGCAATAATTGGATTCACCCTGGCATTTTTACAAATTAGTTACAGTATCAGTGCTGTCACCTTGTTCTTTCTTCATAGATGCCATTCTTATGCTTTGTTCATAATTTTGTTCATCTGGTTGTTTTAAGTGAATCAATATTTTCCCATTTGAAATCTGCCTTGGATATGTAAGACCCTGCATAGGGGTTTATTCATATACTGTGTTTTTGTGCATTCAGATAAGTCTCAAGTGTGGAAGAGAATTTCTAAAGAACAAAGTGTTCAAAACAAATTGGAAACGGGCATTTGTGTTTTTCTCAGATTTGTCTGTGTTCTTCATAGCTTTTTCTTGCTTATCTTTATTCAAAAGTACAACTGGTACTTGGAAGAATTTACCAAATTGTCTAATTGCTTTTCTGTTTGTCAATATACTACACAGAGATGAAAACTCTTGAATGGAATGTTTCCTGCCAGCAACAGTTTAAGTGTAGAATAGTGAAGTTTTTACAGGCTCTATTCTTGAAAATATTCCATCCTTTTTGCATATAATCTAATTGTTTTGATGTTAAGAACATTTCACATAGATCTTCTCAAAGGTAAATTCTTCCTGAAGATAATAAATATGGAAGGAGATGGGTTAGTTCCTTTCACAATCTGCGGTACGGGCAAGATTGCAATCTGTACAGAAGCATGAAATCACTGTTCAGAAGGATGAGAGAGGACTTGCAGTCCCTGTAGGACATTGCTGTCTCCCACATATTCGGACGCATGGAGTAAGCAGAGCCGTGCTTTCACTCCCAACTCAGCGGGTAGCGCTGGTGAGATTCAGAGGTTGGTACCTGTGGTGCTGCTTCAGGCAGCCACGCTGTAACTACACATTGAGTCCGACAGCAAAGGCAGGAGCCGGGCAAGGTGTAAGTTCTGCTATTGGAGAAACGTGATGTAATTTTTCAATCCAGTTATATTTACAATCCTCTAATCTAATTAATAATTAGATTACAAAATAACGTGAGCCTTTAGGGTTAATGTATTTGCTTTTATTGGAGGGAAAGGTTATTTATCAATGTAGAGAATACTGAAGCTGAAAACTGTTTGGGTTTGGTTTTTTTTTTTTTTTTTTGTCATTTGCTGTAGGAAATATTTTCACCTGTAAATTCTTGCAACTGTTCTGATGCAAACACAGTGCTTTTTTGCAGTTTTGAAGCAATGTTTTTGTTGTATAAAAGTTGTTTGAGCTACTGATTTATTCTCTTTACTCCCCAATGATTTGCTCCTGCTTCAAGCACCTTGAGAAGCTGTCCGTGGCAGTCAGTGGAGCTTAGAAGTCAAGGGCACTCTTACCATAACGTAATAGTGCAAAATCCTGTCCAACTCTCTAAGTTTTCTGAAATGTAAATCATCAGTTCTAATATGATGAAGCAGAAGATAAGGCAAAAATTTTTTTTCATGGAGACTTTCTAATGTATGAATTGAATACTGATTGCACTTAACATATATGAATTCTAACAAAAAGTCTGTGCTAAAATAAGAGAATGATGTTTGATGGGAAACTTCTTGGCCTGAGCTGTTCCAGCTTGAAACTAACGGCACAATGCTTTTTCACTTATCCAGGAGTTGTGCTGAGCCCTTATTCATCACACTTTTCTGTATGCAAAAAAAAATGCTATCTTGTCTAAAGCAGGCTTTAATATTACAGCTTGTCAGTTGCAAGGCAGATTGACTTCATCCTTAAGCTGAATACTCAGTAGCAATTCAACATTCATTTAATTCTCTCACAGATGTGCGTGTATACCTGCCACTAACATCAGTGAGAGGAACCTATGGGATCATCAGGAGAGAAGACCTGACCCTGAAAGTGTTACATGTGACATGATCAGTAGATTAGAGAAGTGATACAGCATGGCACCTGCAGCACAGGCAGATGAGATTCCAGTGATGAATAATGTAAGAAAAACAAATATGAAGGTACCACCACAAATTCATTATTAAGCCCTTTACATATCTCTTATTTTTGTTTCTTCTTTTCCTATGGATGTGGAATATCTTAAAAACTTACAAGTAAAAACATTAAAGCAATCACCAAACATCTTGATTGCTTGCGCTGGAATATTCAGCAAAGTTTATTGTTAGAACAAGCTGTCAATAATTTTCTATTTTGTTGGTCTACTTAATGAGTAGCCAGATCTTGTAGTTTATCACAGCTGTGTTTCAGACTACTTTGTTCTGGTAGTAATTTTTGAGGGGAAAGTCACTGGAGCATTTGTTTCAGTGAAATGATGCCTGATGAAGAGACGTCATCTGAGAGTGAAAGCATTAAAATAAGAAATGGCTTCACACAGTGGTAGACTCCAAT